GGGAAGGAGGGAGGGAACAACAATGACATAGAGAATGTGACTCCAGGAAGGTGGCAAGAGTGGATGCCACCTGTGTCCCTGTTTGATGCCAAGTCAGTCTGCCCTTTTAACTCCACCTTCACCCACAATGCCGTCCTTCCCGGGGGTGGAGGAGCTTCACCAGGCCCCACACGGCCAGCTGAGTGGCCACTAGTGGAGAGGGAGGTCTGAGGGGCTGAGAGGTGTCCCCAGGCCCAGCTGCAGCAGCAGAAGCTCAACAGGCAGCAAGGACTGGGGTTCTGTCCTGTAGCCTGAAGGCCTAGGAAAAGGCTGAGAGAGGAGCCGGAATGGGGGCTACGATGGCGCCAAGGGAGCAGAGAGGGGAGAGGTGAGGGAGGCAGGCACTGCTTGGTCCAGACCCTGAGGCCGTAGGAGGAAGATAGGGGACAGAGCAGATCCGAGATGAAGGGGGAGGTTCCAGGGGCTGCCCTGCCACAACACCCCTCACCCCTGGAGAGGGGCCCAGGAAGGCTGTTCCAGGACCGGGAGCCTCCGCCAGTCCCCAACTCCAGTGGAATCTGTGAAAACCTGCCAACTTTTCCTCCAGGCAGATGTCCACGACCATGGGGACAGCAGAAGGGGGTGAGGTGGCCCCTGGGGCCCCCAAGCCCACCCACATTGACGTGCACATCCACCAGGAGCCTGTGCTGAACCTGAGCTGCCTGCAGTGGCCTTCTGCCCCCAACACTATCCCCTGGACCCCAGGACACAGACGGCTGCTCGTGGCCTCCTGGGTGAGCAGGGCTGCTGCGGGGGTGGGGGGACCCAGGCCTCCATATCAGAAAAGGAGAGGCGCCTGCTCTCGCCACGCTCACTCTCTGCCAGCCTTAATCTGAATAGGACATCGAGTCTGTTGTATCTAATGCCTAGAAACTCATTCCCCTGTGCTCTGTTTCTGGCTTTCTTCATCACTAACTGGCCTTCCTGGTGAAAACTGTAGGTAGGGTACACTGTGGGCTAGAGAGCTGACCAGTGAAAGTCCCAGCCTGTGGAACCCTGATCCCAGCCTCTCTCCTGGGCCGGACGCAGCATGGCCGGCACCCCTCCCTCTGCCACCAGTCCCTCCCCCACTTCTCTTCCTCTACCTTCCTCTCTTTCTCTTGTATGGCGTTCTCACAGTGAACACCTGAAACAGCAGGTCCTTAAAGCTTCTCTGAGATTTGGAGGCCAGGTTCTCAAGCTCTTCATCTTTCAGGTGGTGCAGGTCGTGCTGGGGCTGATGAGTGGGGTCCTGGGAGGACTTGGCTGCCTCACATTCCATGAAAATTACCCGTATTCCATTACCAGATGGGTCGCTGGCATCTGGACAGGGGTTGTGGTGAGTGGGGCCAGAGGATGGTGGGCGGGTCGGTGGACCTGTCAGAAGGGACTGCCCAACACCATCAATACGGCCACCATCAATGTGGTACTGCGGAATGTTGGCAACCCAAAAGACCCTAAGTTCTCGAGGCCGATCACCTGTTTCTACAGATGAGAAAAGAACCAGTCCGGCCGGCATGGCTCAGTGTTTGAGTGTCGACCTATTAATCAGGAGGTCATGGTTTGATTCTTAATCCAGGCACATGCCCAGGTTGCAGGCTTGATCCCCAGTGTGGGACTTGCAGGAGGCAGCCAATCAATGACTCTCTCATCATTGATGTTTCTCTCTCTCTCTCTCCCTCTCCCTTCCTCTCTGAAATCAATAATTTAAAAAAAAACTCCCTCTCCCTTCCTCTCTGAAATCAATAATTATTTAAAAAAAATTTTTTTTTAAAGAGCCAAGGAAAGTAGTGGCATAAGTCAGCTGTCCCGGATCCCTGACCAGGGCGTCCCCCACCAAGCTGGCCGCCTCTCCCCACTTTCAACAGCAAATATAAACTGAGAAAGGAGCCGGAGCGGGGCTGTGATGACCTAGGCCCCAGCTGATCTCCAGTCACTTGCATAGAGATGGGGAGGCATCCTGTGCTGCAGGGTGTAGGCCCACAAAGAAGGGGCACCTCCTAGCCCTTTCACACTGCCCTCTGCAGGTTCTGCACCACAGGGACCATGTGGGTGTCACTGACGGACAATGGCTAATGTCAACAGACGGGAGGGGGTGCGATCTGCAGTGGCAGCTTGGTGGGCAGGTCATGGTGGGATTGAAGCCCTTTGGCAAACTCACACACACTCACAGAATAACAGCAAAATGTATTTATTGAAAGAGGGGCCAAAGTCATCATCTATCCAACGGATGGACCAGACTTCCTGTTCTGTGAACTCAGGAGCAGAGCAATGCGGGGACAGGCGCCAACCTGAGGAGGGCAGACTCATCCTGAACTGAGAGCTTCTCCAACAGCCCAGGTCTTCCACCTGAACTTGCAGAAAGCACCTGGTGTGGCTTAAAAAGAGAAGGGCTTTGGAGAAAGAAGAGACGGTTCATACCTGGCTTGACCACTAGTATCTTTAATGTCACTAAAACAGAGGGTCCCGCAGCCTGAGGCGTCATCCAGCCCTCCACACCCTCACTGCTACTTTCCCGCACAAACTTAACTCAAAACTCCCAGCCCACATATGTTCTGGGGCAGGGCCAGCTCTACCTGTGAGAGTTACAAAGGGACAGAGACACAGGCAGCTAGAAGGGCTTATGTGTCCCATCTTTCCCCAGGCTATGCTGGCTGGAGTCGTATGCTTCCTCTACGAGAAATGGGGTGGCACCTGCTGGGTGAGTTTGGGGAAGGGCAGAAGCTGGAGGCCACCCCAAATCTCCCTCCTGCCCCTTTGAACCCCCCTCCCCCTCATTGGTCCCCAAGGGAGAATGAATCACAAGGTCTCCCTGTCTCCTCTTCATCCCAGGCCCTGCTGAGGACCCTGCTCACCCTGGCAGCTTTCGCCACAGCCATTGCTGCCATCTACACTGGGGCTTATTATTTCCAGGAATTAAGCGATGAGTTCTATCAGGCATTGTGTACTAGCCGCCCCTCCTGGGAGCCTACCCGCCCCCCCTGGGAGCCTACCCACCCCACCAGCCCTCCTGAAGAAGCCAACAGGCAGCACCTGTGCCTGTCCTACCTGCACCTGGTCAAGGTAGGTGGGCAAGGGAGAGGAGCAGCACAGACAATGCTTCTATAGCAGTGATGGCGAACCTTTGAGCTCGGCGTGTCAGCATTTTGAAACTGACACGAGTGTCATAGGTTCGCCATCACTGTTCTATAGCAACAAGAAGACTGTCCATCCAAATCAGTGTCACCTCTTCTGCACCAAGCTTGACTACTGTCACCACAGATGATGGCGTTGAACAAACAGAAACAGTTCCTGCGGTTGTGGATATCACAGCCTAGTGGGAACACAAACACTGAAACAACAATAAGTAAATCAATATCGCCAGTGTGTGCGGTGCTGCAAAGGCATGAATGCACCTTTACCCTGGGTCTGGTCATGTTCGGGGCAGCTGGGAAACCAAATCATAGCCCAAGCCTGTCCCTGTTCAGATGAGGATGCTGAGGCTCAAGGAGAGGGACCTCTGGGTGCTCTTGTACACTAGACCTGTTGACCCCGCCGCACACAGCGCTCCTTCCTCAGTCCCCTCCAGCCCCCTACAGACTTGGGATGACAGGGTAGAGGGTGACTGTGTGTCGGTGATGAGGCTGAGGACAGATCACAGATGGTCGCTCTGGTGCCTGCAGCTTTGCTCCTCTGTTCTCAGGCCCTGTCCATGGGCCTTAGGGCCATGCTGTTGAGTATCTGGGTTCTGCTGTTTCTGACTTCTCTGACCCCCATGTTTCTGTACTGCTGGAGAAGAAGACTCCAACCCAAGGAGGTGAGTCGCTAGCATATGTGTCTGTGTGTTTGGGGCAGGAAGCTATGCAGCTAGGAGATAGAATGGAGAGAAAAGGCCCCGTGACAGTGAGTCCCAAGAACATCGTGCCTGTCTTTCTACCCCAGTGGTGGCCCAGCCCAGAGAGACACTGTCCCTGACCACGTAGCCCCCAGGCCAAAGACCCCAGGAAGCCAGGGAAGTCCATATCCATGGTGGGACTTTGGGGCTCTTTGCATTTGGTACCATGAGGTTGAGGATGGATCTGGTTGGCCCCAGAACTAAGCTGCCTTTGAGGAGAGAATTTGTGCTTCCTCTCCCCCTCTGGGTTGGCTCTCGTCCTCCTCCTCTTCCTCTTCCTCCTCCTCCTCCTCCTCCTGTTCCTCCTCCTCATCTTCCTCTTCCTCCTCCTCCTCCTCCTCATCTTCCTCTTCCTCCTCCTCCTCTTCCTGTTCCTCCTCCTCATCTTCCTCTTCCTCCCTTAGGAAAAAGACCAGAAGCCACTGCTGGGAGCAAGTAAAATCTAGCCCTGCCTCTCCTGAGTACTCATGCCTGGAGCTCCTCCTGAACCCATGTCCCTGCATCTGACTCCTGGAATAAGAGCCAGACCAAGGAAATGAGACCCTCCAGTGGCCCCAGTTGTCCTGCCCCACAGCCACGGCCACAGCCACAGCCCTGCTCCACCACCCCTCACAAGTGCCTCTCACCCATTTCTTTTACACCTCCACCATCCTGCCCCACTTCATGTCCCCTCTTGAGCAGTGATGATAATAAACTCTTACGTTGTTGCTCCCAGCTTCTCGCTTAGTTATTCCAGTGAATTTCCCTTGGTTGGGGAGGCAGTGGAGAATGAGCCAAGAGTGAACCCATTCCCAGCGTCTAGAGTTGCTGGCCCACTGTATTTTTATAAACGTCATCCATGTACTATTTACAAGAAACATGTCTAAAACAAGGATACAGAAAGATTGAGGGTAAGAGGATGGAAAACATTTATAACAAATAAATTGGTACAGCTCTGTTAAAATCAGATGTTAAGGCAAACAACATTCCTAGAGATAAAGTGATCAGTCTTGCCGGCATTCTCTCCTTCCTTCTTCCAATTCATTCCTTCCCTCTTGGGACCAGGACCCCATCCCTCCAGCTGGAGGAGCCAGATTATGGCCAGGAGGATAAGTCAGAGCCATGGTGCAAGAGGAAGACCCAAGAAGCCTGGCCTTTTATAGCACAACAGAACATGCCCACCTTTGGCTTACCTTTGAATATCTTTATATGAGATAAAGTAATTCCTTGCTGATTTTTCAAAAAGAAAAAATTTTTCTTTTAAAACCATTTATAATGGCAAAAAAACAATAGGGATAAAGTTAGCTAGGACTAAATCTAGACAGTCAAGTCATTAATAAAACCATAAGACATTGTTGGAAAATATTTATGAATCCTATCTAATAAAAGAGAAAGATGCAAATTGACCGTGGCCCCGAACGCTTCCCATTGGCTAATCAGGGAGATATGCAAATTAACTGCCAACCAAGATGGCGGCC